GGTATCATTACTTTTTAACTCAGAAAGTCATAAATCAAAACGTCCCTAACAGTCATTCTCTAATGATAGTTGGAGGCACTCAAAAATAATTTAAACGATGACATGTGTTCAAAGGAATCATAACTGCCAGAACTGTAATTCGATATTTGTTTACGTTTCAAAGGAATCGTAACTGCCAGAGCTGTAATTCGCGATTTGTTTACTGCTTATCTAATTTTTTGAGTAAAAAATTGATTCATTTCAGATGATCGTGTGCTTTGCGCAGAACTAAATTTTCTGGAAGATGGGTGTATTGCAAAAGTTGTAGATGATCGTAATTTCGAATCGGATCGTCTGGTATGCTGCTGCACTGAAGAATGTGAATTAATGGGTTTTGTTGTGCAAGCACTGGCAAAAGATATTGAAGAGCGTATTTCGGAAGAACGGGATTACTGGTGATCACTTTTTTGTGAGGCTAATTATACCTTGTTGATTATGATGAAGCAAAAATTAAGCATTGTTTTTAGTTAAAACCTAATGGTTTGTTAGATAGGAATTACAAGAGAAATTGAAATTAAGTGAGGCAAAAATACGAGGTACATTTTAAATGGGCGATTGCTGTAGCACTCATGTCTGAAATCAACACTCATTAACAGGAGCTGTGTTTGAGATTGAATTTTTGTGTGGTAAAACACAGAGATTATCCTTGAAACTGAAAAATACTGCCGTAAAAAATAGGATGTTTCAAACTGAAATGTAAAAATTTGAAAAATTTTAATTACAAATGAAATTAGTAACATCCAGTCTGACGTGTCACTGTAGTAGCAAAGCCAGAATTTCTTGATAAATAATTTTATAGGAACGCACAGGAATATACAATTTTTTGCCCATTAACTACTTTTTCTAGTGATGAAAAAAATTCGGAAATTCGCAAAACTTCTATTAAGCTTTGCATCTTATTAAGAATGTTTCGAATTTCACCGCCCTCTTACCGACTGCATCCAGGCATATCTTTTTTTTGCATATGGTCCCTATCTCTTATTCTATGGTACACATACGTCGGACAGGTGGTGGCTACTAGATGGAGCTATGCAGTACAGGATCGAACAGTCTGACACAGTTGTGCCAGAAGTAAGGAAGCAACTTAATAATATCACTAACAT